TTTGTTTCATTTAAGCTTCACATGTTTTCTGTGAAGAAAACATAATCAACAGGAACCTGCTATGGAAATTGCTTTTCAGTTGGTTCAAGAGGAGAGAATCTTTCTTATGAGGATAAAATCTTTTTTATGAGGATTATTATTGTTTAATAAGCCTATTAGACAAGGTATACATTTTTATGCGTACTAGTTCTGTACACCATTATACTTGAAACAGTTATGTATTCCACCCTCCATATATGTATTCCTCCACCCCACACAATTGAACTACTTGTGTCCCACAGAAATTTAGTAATATTGAAGATGAAATCTTTGCCTGCTAAAAATATGATGATGAAATACTGGCTTTAAAAAAAATCAAGATTTCTTAAATTAATTTTATTTGGCATTCATTTTTGTTTGGATGTATGTGTGCTCAGTAACACATAGCACAGTCAGATACTCCAAGTTTTCCCCTATAGCTTTGTGCTATTTCACATGTGGCTATTCTTCACTTTCTTACACTAGCCTATATTAATGTGGGGTGGGAACACTTGGAGTGGGAAGGTAGATTTCCTCTCCAATCATTCCAGGGGCCAGATGATCTCAAGGGGCATGGCCAAACTTCCTGATGTCATTGGGTCCAGGGCTGAAACACTGCCTGGGGACCTGACTTCACTCCTTCTCCTTCTTCCTGCCAGCACTAGCTGAATATCTACCAGGCTAGACTCAAGAAGGAGAAGAATTTAAGTGGGAGACTTAAACTGTGTAAACTATGGCTTATTGTGGTTTTCTCATCCATTGGAGGAGGAAAAGGCGAGTGTATAAATTCAAGGTTCACCTAAATTCAGTCATGTTACACTGAACAATGGTTTAGCTGCTAAACCATAGTTTATGCAGGCCATGCTAATTTTATTTACTATTTATTTTTTAGCATAGTTGACCAAGGAAATTAATTTTACCTCACAGTAATATTAAACATCCAGGATACATTTTTGTACATATCTAGTGGCACAAAATTTTAATATCAGAAGAGTGGGTATGTTCCAGTAAAGCACTTCAGAGAGACACCTGCATAGTAATGCTTTTATTGAGTATGTGCATCAAAACACTTTTCTTGAATGGCAAAAGAAATACTCCAATTCCAACTAGAGATCACTAGTTTCAGTGTTTCACAGCTACTCACTCATAGACCACAAGGTTGTGAGTTCAATACTAGCCAGGGCTCAGGCTAGACTCAGGCCTGCATCCTTCTGAGGTCACTAAAATGAGCTTACAGTTGTAAACAGCTTAGACATCCCATGGCACGATATGAAGTGGTATATAAATGAAGCTGCTTTGCTTTTGCTTTTTTTGCTTTCTTCATCCTGAGGATTAATGCTAGTCTGCAGGTGTCTCATTTCACATGGCAGCCAAATCTCACAGATGCAAAGGCTGGGAAATGAAGGGATTAAAGTGAAATGCTCTAGGCCAAGGGGTGACTAACAGTGCAGTCCTGTTCATGTCTCTTCTGAAGTAAGTCCTACTGGGTCCATTAGGGTTTTTTCTTTGGTAAATTGGGTATAGGATTGCAGCTTTAATGTAGGAGTTTCTGGACATATTCATTCAGATATTTTGTTGATAATAAATTCCCTTCCTTGGAAACAGAATATATTCATCACTGTGTTTAGATATGCATTTAATTCTGAGCATCTATACTGAATTTCTTCCTGCTAGTTGCATCTCTCTCTCATACAGCTCTTGTCACTGTTTGGTAGTGTCTGAGTGTGATTAACCCCCAATGGTTATTATGAATTATGCAGTGTGTGAAATCCTGCAGTCTCTGTTTTCAAGTGTTGCAATGGGGAGGAAAATGTGAATAGTGTAGAACTAAAGTAGCTCTGTGGTAAGACTCTTGATATTGGTTTTACAGGTATTTGGAACAATTTGGCATGAAATGGAAGCAAGTTAGGATTTACTGCTAGATTTTAAGGTGATTTGATCAACAGCAGGCTGGCAAGAGTTTCTGGTGACCAAGGCAGGCTGAAAACAGTTTCTAGTTTAACAAAAGCAGCAGCATCAGTGCATGTAAAGCGCAGTATTTTCCCTTCCAAATACAGGTAAGAGAGCTGAAATATAGATTGCTTCCAGAAAGCATTGTGTGGAGTTATTCTGTCTTTCTTACCTTAATATTGCAGTAAGAAAAAAGAGCCCCCCCCAAAAAAAAAAGCACCGGAGAAACATAGGAGTGTTATATATGGAAGATAAGATGCTCAATAGAACTCCATCAATGAAACAGGGGTCTCATTCAGACTACACAATTATAGTGGCTATAATCATGTGTATAGTGAGTACACATGATTCAACTTTAACTACCATGGAAACACCCTATAGAATCCTGGAATTTGCATTTTAGCAAGGAGTACTCAGAATTCTCAGTTAGATAACCCCACCAAAGTACAAATTCCAGGATTCCATAGGATGCAGCCATGGGAGGTAACATGCAATAATAAAGTGGAATAACTGTTATAGGGGGGTTGCAGACTGCCAGAAATAGTGCAAATTGAGTTCACTTTTATGGTTAGAGTTAGGGTTAGGGAATCATGGGAACTGTATTTTATTGTGGCATCAGAGCTCTCTGACAGAGAAGGCTCAATGTCTCAGAAAAAAACCAATTCCCATGATTCCCTAGCACTAACCCTAACCCTAAAAGTGGACTCAATTTGCACTATTTCTGGCAGTCTGCAACCCCCCATAGTGTGATAGTATAGCCCATAGTGATTGCACAACAAACGCTCTATCTAGAAGCATCCTAAGAAATGTGGAGGGTGGGGAACAAGTGGGGTTTTGTGTGCCAGGGCAAAACTTTAACAAAGTAAACATCTCCATAAGACTTAATTATGTTTAGGAGCTGGTTCATTTATTATAATATTTATCTTCACCTTTCTTGATGCAATAATTAGTCACATCACTTTACACATTCCATTCAGAGAACTGGGGATCATGTTATAATGTACAGTGAGGTTGGATAAAACATAGCCTTGCAGGTATTGTTGGACTGTGCTTCCCATCTTCCTTAGCCAGTGAGTAGGTACAATGGCAGGTGCAATCCAACAACCATCTGGAGAGCCCATACTCTCCATCCATTATATACAATTTGGAAGAGCCTCCTGGCTCAAGTTATCTGGTCTTGGGATTTTCCAGAGCATTGGTTGTAGCTGAATATTTTCATTCCTGTTTACCAGTTAGACAGAAATCCATGCCTGTGGAATTTATTGCCATCTTGTTTTAGATTATTTTTTATTAGTTTTTAGTATGAATAGTCTAAATTACAATCAAAATAATATACAACCAAAACTTTAAAAAACAGAAGGGGGAGAAGAGGAGGAGGAAGAGGAGGAGGAGGAGGAGGAGGAGGAGGAGGAGGAGGAGGAGGAAGGAAGGAAGGAAGGAAGGAAGGAAGGAAGGAAGGAAGGAAGGAAGGAAGGAAGGAAGGAAGGAAAAGAAACAAAAAGAAAAGAATGAAGAAAATCATACACCTAATATGCAGTAAGGCCCACCCACTCCCACCCTCACTGTAATGCTAAGAAATATAAAAAAGAGAAAAACACTATTCTACCATTACAGAACTATTTAAATAATCCTACTAAAATTACTAATAACCATCGCCACAGAATTTTACATCATTAGATCTCTTTTTGCTCAAAAAATCCAAAAATGGTTTCTAAACTTTTAAAAAGTCTTCAGTTGGCTTATCCATTAAAAACTATATTAATTTGGCCATTTAAGCTAACTCGGCAAATTTAACAACCCATTCTTCCATGATCAGTGCTTCAGTCTGTTTCCACGTTTGCTGCTGTTGCCATATATTGAAGAAGTAATCCATTATCTACTATTTGGTAGATATCCATAATGCCAAACAGAAACATTTCTGGTAACATTACAAAATTTTCCTTTAGAATTTTTTTGAATTAACATGTAAATCTTAGATCAGTAACTTTTCTCCTTCTTACATACCAGATATGAAAAATTGAGCCCTCCTTATCTTGACAGCTTATTTGGGGTTAGGTAGCATCTATACATCATTGTAATCTATTGCCATTTTAAACTGATGCTATGCATCCCTTAAAAAAGAAAAGAAAAAGAAAAAGAGAGAAAATCACCCTAAAACAAAACCTTTCAGACATGATTTCCACAGTGAATTTCTATTTGTGGCTATATAGATGATTAGTATTTTCCTTCTGTCCTAATTCCTCAGGGCTCTTTCTTCTTCTCCTTTGTATTTTAAAGTTTAGTTCCTTAACTCTCTGATCTTTCAATTTTATTCATCTCTTTTGCCTAATTTTAGATTATATGCCTGTGGGCAGGGCCATCATCTGAATTTACTTAATGTGTGGCGCCTAATTTATTTGGGTGCTTGATTCAACAGCAATAATAGTAATGAGAATAACTGAGTGATTTATTTAATAATATTAATGAGAATAATAATTATAGTCATAATTACTATGACACATTCTTGTGTCAGAAATGTGAAAGGGCTACTGTTGCTGAAAGGAGCATCTCACCAAGGAGAAGGCAGTTCAGATTATCATGCCCTGCTGAGATTTAAGATACTGATTATCATGTCTTGTTGAGGTTCCCAATATGGTTTATAGGTCAAATAGCCTAGCATTAGCTCTGGGTAGACAACAGTCTTGCATACATACTATAGTCAATGAGATGCCCATTACGTAATGAGTTGCCTTGATTTATACTCTTTTAAAGTCAGCATGGTATAGTAGTTTGAATGTTGAAGTTCAAGTTGTATGATTTCTGAAACCCCTGGTGACACAGTGGTTAAATGCCTGTTCAATACCAGCCAGAGGCTCAGCCTTCTGAGATTACTAAAATGAATACCGAGCTTGTTGGGGGCAATTACCTGTAATTTCACATTGTAAACTTCTAGGGAGTGCTTAAGTGCACTGAGAAGTGATATAGAAATGTACTTGATACTACTATTGCTGAAAATCAGTTTGAGTTGCTTCTGTGTCACTTCCAAAATTCTAGCCAGTGTAATGCAGTGGTTTGAGTGCTGGACTACAAATCTATAGACCAGCATTCGATTCCCAGCTCAGCCATGAAACCTAGTGGGTGACCTTGGACAAGTTACACTCTCTCAGCCTCAGGGAAAGGCAATGGCAAACCTTCTCTGAACAAATCTTACCAAGAAAAACCCTGTGTTACATTTGTCTTAGAGTTGCCATAAATCAGAAATTACCTGAAGACATACAACAACAACAACAACAGCAACAACAAGGTCTACTACAAAGCTCAGAATAGTTATGTTATGGACTACAGTTCCCAGACTCCTCCAACCAGTATGTCTCTAGGCCATGTTGGTTGTCTGAATCAGGACATTAATAATAATAATAATAATAATAATAATAATAATAATAATAATAATAATAATAATAATAATTTCTTATACCCCGCCTTTTACCTTGGCAATCAAATTATAGTCCAAAAGCAAAGCAAAAAAACAAAACAAAACAAAACAAAACAAAAAAAAACCCCAGATCCATTTCAAGCTTTGGTTTACTGTTAAAGATTGATAGTACTCAGTTTTGTTCTATTTAATATTACAAGATCTTGTTATTACCACAACCATATGCTATGAATAGTAGGAAAGATCTCACCCACAGTGGATATCTTCATTCATTTGAAGAGTGAGATGTTTTCAATGTACCTATCAGGGGTGAGGGTGGTAGGGCCTCTCCAATGCAGTACCTGTTCTGTGGAAAAATCAGAAGACTTTTGTCTCTGGGTCTGTCACTGTAGCACCTTTAAGAAAACACTGAAGTGTACCTTTTTAAAAGGCTTGCTCCTATGTGGGCATGACAACATTTTCTATAAATGGGTCTTAAGTATATAATTATATGATAGACCCAAACAGTTCTAAAAGACTTGCTCCAGGCTATTGTGTAAGCAATAGTCCTTTGAGAAACGTATAAATACATGCAATTCAGTACATAATACACATGTTTAAAAAACTGCCTAATTACGTAGTTTCCCAGGAGACTGCAAAGGCTCCAAAGGAGCTGCCCCAGTCTCTTGCATACACAATGTGTGTTTTATAACCTTCCATGAATCTCTCCCATTCTCTTTCCTTCCATAGAGGTGGGGGTAATGGCAAGGAAATTAAATACAAAACACCTACTGTAGATTTAATTTAAAGGACAATGTACAATGTTGATAATATAATATGTGTCATGCAGACCCAAAGAAGCCAAAAATCTTAATTAGTTCAATCCTTCCCTCATACCATTTATAGAATTTTCCACCTTGTTTTTCTATAATGACATGCACTATGCCAGCTAATGCTAGAGAAAGCCATTTATTGACAAGGGGTTGGATCCACATTAAGGCACATGTATCTAGGCTGGCAGATGTGCACTTTTCCACCACCCCTCTGTTCTATGTCCCTGAAAATGCTACACAGAGATTCTGGTGAATAGGTGAGCTGTGGTTCAAGATGTAGGGCCTAAGCAGACTGTCAGAAATAGTGCACTTTACATTGAGGCACTGCCCTGGCTCAGTGCTAGAGAGTCATGGGAATTGTATTTTTTTTTAGACACTGAGCCTTCTCTGTCAGAAAGCTCTGGGGCCACAATAAATTACAGTTCCCATGATTCCCTAGCACTGAGCCAGGGCAGTGCCTCAATTTAATGTGCACTATTTTTGGCAGTCTGCTTAATAGTCTAGGGCCTTTTCACACTAAACAGTTACAACACTGTGGCCTCAAACTTATTGTGAGTCTTGCCTAGAGTAGATCCAATTAATATATTAGATTTACCTTTATGTTGACATTTGATAATAACTATAATGACATAATGAACTTTTTTATAATTAAGCAATGGTAGGGCAATGTTCTTGGCCACAAAGCATACAACCATAGCTCAGTTATAGCTCACTCCAGAATGTCATTATTTCCATTCTTCTCAAAAGTAAATTTCAAAGCTCTGCAATGGCAACCTTCAATCAAGAAACTTTAGGTTACACTGTCTTTTGTTTATTGTAAGATCTTTGCTGTTGAAGGCTGACATCAGGCATCTTCATACAACTAGCCAGCCCAGCAGCTTAAAATGAAAACCAGACAATTACTGAGAACACATGTGCAGGTTTCTGAACTGGAATAACACCTGATGATTATTTCATCCAGGTGCCACTATCCAGGAGATTATCAAAGAAACTGCTGACTCTAGTTGGCACATTGAAAAAGAAACAAACAAGTAATTCCACAAGAATTCCTTACCCACAAATGCAGAGATGTCAACAACAGCATTTTTTGTTTTAAGAAGATTTCATGTTTATGAAGTTCTGTGCCAAAAAAGGAAGGACATTCTTCGGAGCAAAACAGTGAAGAAATCTCTGACCACAAATCTAAATCTGAGACCATTATTTTATTGTACTACAATAAAGGTAGTGTAAACCAGATGGTCTCTACACCTAAAAAGCATAGGAAGAGCCTGCCAGATCAGACAAAAAGTCTATCTAGTCCAGTATTCTTGTCATATAGTAAAAAGCCAGCTAGTTGTCTAGGGGAAGCAAAACATGAGTTGTCTAGGGGAAGCAAAACTGCAACCTCTTTCTTCTCTTTTCCAGCCTTTGATTTTGATACTTCTTTTTATGCTAAAGACAATCTATAGGCATAATAATCAGTGGCTATACAGAATCTTATCTTCCATACATTTGTCTAGTTTCCTAGACAAATTCATGTTGTGATGGCTGACAACTTTCAAGACATCCCATGAAACAAGACCCATATTTTAACTATGTGCTTTGTCAGAAAATGCCACTTTTTATTCTGAATTTTCTCCCATCCAGCTTCATTTGGTTAGTCCAGGCAACAAAATAGCAGACAGGGAGAAACCCGTCTCTCTTTCTACACACCTTCAATACTTATATGACCTCTCTGTTGCCTTATTTACATGATCAAACAAATAGTGACCAATTAGTCTGAGAGACAGAACTTTCAGAGAAAATTGGTTGACAATTGGTCTGAGAAATACAACCTGCATAACAAGTAGGGCAAATTTTTGACAGAATGACAGAAAGTTGCAGCAAAATGTTTGCAGCTGTTAAATATGATGATTTTTGCATAGGTTTCTTAAATAGCATGTGCTCTGGTTGCATGCTCTGCAAAAGTTGTTGTTGCTTTTGTTGCAGGTCATTCCCAACCCATGATGACAACTCTGCTCTATTTATGCAATGTTTCAACTGTCTAGATTACTGCACTATATTCTTATAGCATTGCTATTCCACTTTTACTGCTCTGGCTGCCTCCTGTTGCATTCTGGGATTTGCAGTTGAGGAAGGGGCATTTAGAATTCTCAGTCAGAGAACTCTTAGACCTCATTGAACTACAAACCCAAGAATACAACAGAAGGAAGCCAGAGCAATAAAAGTGGAATAGCAGTACCATAAGAGTGTAGTGTGGTAATGTGTTGTGTTATCTTATGCTAGTATGTCATTTATGTTACCTGTGGAGTTAATTAGACCACACACACTGTTCTTTTAGGTGATATGAGTATTAATGAGCTCAATTATATTGTTTTACTGGAAAAAACAAAGAAAGACATGCAAATGATGTCATGCTTAATACCTGTCCTCAGATATTTCATTTTTATACCTTTTCTGAGCTACATTTCACTCCAGAATTGGACTGATACAATAATGTTTTCTTGGTTGTTCTAAGACAAGTCTAAGACTAATGTTTGTTCGACATGATGCTGTGGACGCATTGCTTAGAAATGTGAGGCCAACACTTCTCTGTTACACTCATGTCCATCCTGGCTAATTAAAGTTGCCACAGGAGGATTGGTCAATTGAGTAGTGGAGGTTGTAAATGTTTCTTTGAAAGAGGGCTATATTCCAACCTCTCTAAAAGAAGCAACTGTAGTACCTTTGTTGAAGAAACTTCCATTGGACCCACCTATTGGCCAGTCTTTAACCACCCCTTTTAAAGTAAGTCTTACAGCAAGTTGTGGCAACATGACTCCAGACTTTCTTAGATAAAATGGATTGTCCAGATAATTCCAACATGGGTTTAGGATACTATGGGCCATTGCAGACTGATAGTTGGATGGAGGTGGGGTGTGAATCCCTCTTGGTTTTCTTGGATTTTTCCATAGCACTTGATACTGTTGATGTGACATCCTTCTTGATTGTTTGGCAGATATGGGACTTGGGGGCATTGCTTTGTGGTGGTTCCAGTCTTTCTCAGCCAGATGTTCCAGAAGGTGGTGATGGGGAACTGTTGTTCAGCCTTTTGTCCACTAGCCTGTGGGATTCCTCGGGGTCAATTCTGTACTCTTTTTAATATTTACATGAAGTTGTTAGGCAGCCAAAATACATGGCCTTCAGTGTCTGAAATCACTCTGATGCAATTGCTCTGATGTTCTTAGACTGCTTTCAAAAGTGTTTGGAGAAGTTTTTGATTTTTTAAAATATGTTTTAAAAACATTTTTATCTTAGTAATATTTTAATTGCTTTTATTTATTCACCACCACAGGAGCTCTTGTAGATTGGATGTGATATAGAAATATCTTTCATTAAATAAATAAATAAATAAGATGGCCTACTTTTTAAAATGTTCCTGTGCTTTTCCTCTTCCTACCCTTAAGGCCTACAACTCTATCACAAAGTATCTACATAGGATTACTTCCCTCTTCAAATCTCACTTCAGCCTCTCTAGTTCCTTGAAACTTGAAACATTCTTCACTTGTAGATGTTATTTTCAGAAAGCAACAAAGACTCTCCTTTTTTGTATAACCTTGTGCTGTCGTCAGAGTATCCTCAAACCTTTGTTTTTGTTTTTACAGTTGATCCTCCATATCATGGATAATGCATGAACTCAAGTCCCATTATAGCCAATAGACGTGTGATGTGCGCATAACCTCATTAGCATGGCCACATGCATCACCGTCATTGACAATAATGGAGTGGGGCCATCTGTGGATGCTCTAATCCAGGGATAGGCAACCTTTCCCCTTTAAGGGCCGAGGGACTTCATCTCCCAGAAGCTTCAGCCACATTGGTCAATAGTCCCATGTTGGCCAATAGCTCCTGGGATTCTGGG